CTGACTCTTTAATTATATGTATTTGCTCTTCTTTCTTTTCTTTCTTTCTGTCTGTCTCTCTCGCTCTCTTTCTCTTCCTTCTTTTTTCTTTTGACGAAGTCTCCCTTTGTCACCCAGGCTGGAGTGCAGTAGCATGATCTAGGCTGAGTGCAACCTCTGCCTCCCAGGTTCAAGAGATTCTCATGCCTCAGCCTCCAGAGTAGCAGGGACTACAGGTGTGTGCCGCCACACATGGCTAATTTTTTTTTTTTTTTGTATTTGTAGTAGAGACAGGGTTTCACCATGTTGGTCAGGCTGGTTTCAAACTCCTGACCTGAAGTGATCCACCTGCCTTGGTCTCCCAAAGTGCTGGGATTACAGGCGTGAGCCACCATGACCCGCCTGCATTGTTATCTTAATGGTGGCTCTAGAGATTATAATATATACTTGTACATTTTTTTACTGTCTACTTAGAGTTAATATTGTACTGCTTCATGTAAAATGTGGAAACTTTAAACCAGACATGTCAATTTTTACTCCCTATTTTTAATGTTATAATTGTCACACATATATTTTACACAAGATCCTAAAATTCACAAGACAATGTTACAGTCATTGCTTTGAAAAGTCCTATGTTGCTTAAAAAAAGAGAAAATATGGTTTTTTACATTTACCTAGATATGTATTATTTTTGATGCTCCTCTTTCCTTCCTGAAGATCACAGTTCTATTTGGTATCATTTCTCTACAGCATAAAAAATTTCACTTAGCATTTATTGTAGTGCAGGTCTGATCATGATGAATTTTCTTAGTTTGTATTTATCTGAAAATGTCTTTATTTTATCTTTATGATTGAAGGATATTTTTGTTTGCTATAGGATTCAGGATTGGCAAGTCCTTCCCCTAGCCCCCAGCATTTTAAAGATGTCATTTCACTCTCTTCTGGCCTCTATGTTTTCTGAAGAGAAATCAGTAATCATTTGAGTTCTTGTTTCTCTGTATATAATGTGTAATTTTTCTTGGGCTGTTTTTAACGTTTTTTTAATATTCTGCTGTTTGACTATTATATGCTTGGACATCTTTTTCTTCGTACTTACTCTGCTAAGAGTTTTGGTGAGCTTCTTGAATATGTAAATTTACACCTTCTACTGAATTTGGGGAAATTTTCACCAAATACTGTTTCCTCACCATTTTCTCTTTCCTCTCCTTTTGAGACTCCAATTACTTGTATGTAAGACCTTTTTTTTAATTTTTATTTTATATTTTTATTTTTTTATTGCATTTTAGGTTTTGGGGTACATGTGCAGAGCATGCAATACAGTTGCATAGGTACACACATGGCAGTGTGTTTTGTTTGCTTTCTCCCCTTCACCCACATTCGGCATTTCTCCCCAGGCTATCCCTCCCCACCTCCCCCTCCCACTGGCCCTCCCCTTTGTCCCCCAATAGACCCCAGTGTTTAGTACTCCCCTCTCTGTGTCCATGTGTTCTCATTTTTCATCACCCGCCTGTGAGTGAGAATATGCAGTGTTTCATTTTCTGTTCTTGTGTCAGTTTGCTGAGAATGATGTTCTCCAGATTCTTCCATGTCCCTACAAACGACATGAACTCATCATTTCTGATTGCTGCATAATATTCCATGGTGTATATGTGCCACATTTTCCCAATCCAGTCTATCATCAATGGGCATTTGGGTTGATTCCAGGTCTTTGCTATTGTAAACAGTGCTGAAATGAACATTCGTGTGCATATGTCCTTATAGTAGAACGATTTATAGTCCTTTGGGTATATACCCAGTAATGGGATTGCTGGGTCAAATGGAATTTCTATTTCTAAGGCCTTGAGGAATCGCCACACTGTCTTCCACAATGGTTGGACTAATTTACACTCCCACCAACAGTGTAAAAGTGTTCCTTTTTCTCCACATCCTCTCCAGCATCTGTTGTCTCCAGATTTTTTAATGATCGCCATTCTAACTGGCGTGAGATGGTATCTCAATGTGGTTTTGATTTGCATCTCTCTGATGACCAGTGACGATGAGCATTTTTTCATATGATTGTTGGCCTCATATATGTCTTCTTTCGTAAAGTGTCTGTTCATATCCTTTGCCCACTTTTGAATGGGCTTGTTTGTTTTATTCCTGTGAATCTGTTTGAGTTCTTTGTAAATTCTGGATATCAGCCCTTTGTCAGATGGGTAAACTGCAAAAATTTTTTCCCATTCTGTTGGTTGTCGATTCACTCTAGTGACTGTTTCTTTTGCCGTGCAGAAGCTCTGGAGTTTCATTAGGTCCTTTTGACACTTCGCCACATGTACCTCGAGGCTGTCATTTCACTATCTGTTCTTCTGAAAGGATCATTTCTATTGATCTGCTTTTAAATCTGCAGACATCTGTTGTATTCATGTTACTATTGAAGCCATCCTGTGCAATTTTTAAAATTGTACTGTTTTTGGAATTCATGCTAAATGAGTAGATTTTAGCTGATCTTGCCACAAAAGCAAAAAAAGAGGTAACTATGTGAGATGACGGATAAGGTAATTTGCTTTACTATAGTGACCATTTTCCTTTCCATATCTATCTATATTATATAACAAGTACAGACAATAAAAATTATTTTTTAAAATTCTAATATTATATTGAAAGTTTAGAATTTCTATTTCATTTGTTTCTGTTTTTTTCCTATTGTTTCCTCTCGGCATTAATTGCAAACAGATTTTCTTTTAAATACCTCAGCATAGTTATTCTAGCTGCTTTAAAAATCCTTGTCTGTTAATTCTAATATCTGGATCATCTCAAGGAGTTAAACCTTGAGATGATCCAGATATTAGAATTAACAGACAAGGATTTTAAAAAATAGGTTACATATGTCTTCACCTATTGAGTAATTTTGGATTATGTCCTGGGTATTACAAATGTTACATTGTGAACACTCTAGATTCTACTCTATTTCCTTGTAGATTATAGATTTTTGTTGTAGATTATAGATTTTTGTTTTAACAGGAAATTAACTTGGTTGGAATATACTGTAGATGTTATTTCTTGATTGGCAGTTCAAATCTCAGTTTACTTCCTTAATTTTTAGTGGAAGTCTGTCCTGTACCTATGTGGTCCAGAGCTCAGGCAGATATTTGGGCAGAGTTTGTACTCAAAATTTTTGATCCCGCTTTTCATTCTAGATGTCCCCACTCCAATTCCCATCACCTCCCAGTGGCTATGGTTGGCCTGACTTCTGTTTTCTGGTTTTTCATTCCACAAAGACTGCAATTAAAAAAAAAATCAGACTTTTAGATGTCCTTCACAGCATTAGTTTCAGCCTGGCATCAGCCTACAAACTGTAAAAACGGGTACCCCACCTTGTGATGTTACCTTTTTCCAAGTGTTTCCTCTTCTCCAGAAACTGTCTGCTTTTGGTAATTTTCCAGTGCCTTTAAGTCATTGTTATTTTGCATTTTGATATGACAGAGGGTTGAGTTTATGAAGAGTTACTTAGCTATATTGAAGCATATGTTGACTTCCCAGTGTATTTTGTTTACATACAGGATTTTCAATCATAAATCTTGGTGGAGAGACAAACCAAATAACACCAATTGTATTGTTGGTACCAAATTGCTTACATATTGAAGCTAAATCATGACCTCTCCATGGTACTTGATTGTCCTAGAAGAGTTCATTTCTGCTTAGTGAAGAGCCATAGGGCTTTTAATTCTACAAGTCATTTTTAGAAATATGATAAACTTTTAGCCCCCCCATTATACACCCAGATAGATAATAGCAACTTGAGAGGCAGCATAATTTTAAAAAGTGAGCCCCAAATCACATATATCTTTGTGCAGCAGCATCCCAGCTGCGTGACTCTAAGCAAGTCATTTAACCTTTCTAACCCATTTCCTGTTGCCATAATACAGCATACCTCTCAGAGGTGATAGACAGATTAAATGGGAGAATGCAGTTAAGTGTGTATACCTATCCTGTTTTGTCTGTGAGAGTCCAGATTTATGGCTGTGGACTTAGTGTAATTATTAACAACGCTTTTTGACTCTCAAAAATGTTCCAGTACTTGTCAAATACTATTACCAGTCAACTCAGGAAAAACTTCTGATAGTGGATTTCTTGGTCCATTTTGTGCTGCTGTAACAGAATACCACAGAATGGCTAATTTCTGATTAACAGAATTATATTGGCTCATAGTTCTGGAGGCTAGGAAGTCCAAGATCAAGGGGCCACCTGTGGTGAGAGCCTTCTTGCTGTGTCATCCAATGGAAGATGTGCAAAGAGAGGGCAAGAGAGAACAAAAGATTGAACTGACAGCCTTAAGCCCTTTTACAATTGGCATGATTCCATTCAACACGGTGGAGCCTTCATGACCTGAACATATCCCAATGTGCCCCTGCCCCCGTTACTGTCACATTGGGGATTAAGTTTCCATTACATGCTTTTTGGGGACACATTCAAACCATAGCTGTGGGTATGTAGCTCTTAGTAGAGCTAATGCCTCACTTCTGTGCTTCACTTTTCAACCAAAGCATTGCTCCATAAACAATGAGGCAAATCCCTATTCCCATTGTATTGTGTTTTTTATTGTTGTTTTGTTTTTTCCTTTTACTATATGGAGGAAGGTAGCCTGATTTCCAAGACTGGTTTATTTCTAATAATCAGGGCAAATGACCTAATTTGTCTTTTCCCTTTCATTTCTATTATTATCCAGGTGAAAGGAGATCAAAGGGAGATAACCTCGGGATTAGGCTTACAAAGGACAAGATGATGTATGTTTGTCTCTGTCTATGTGTACCAGGATCATGTCTTGGCCTGTGATTCTATGTGTGTATGTGTGTGCGTGTGTGTGTGTGCGTGCATGTGGATGTGCACATGTGTGCAAAAAGTATACCATATAGCTTATGGAGCTAGTTCCCACCTTTCAGCCCTTTGAGTGATATTCTGAGGCTGAGCTGGGGTGGAAGGTGGGCAGGACTTCATTATAATGAACGAAGATTTCAATTTTCATTTCTGACTTTTCTTGGCAGATTTTCCTAGGCAATGTCCCTGTGGGAAGGATTTTGGCTTCCATATATTTGCCTAAATCACTGATGGGGAGAATTCCTCTTAGCAACTTACAAACGATCTTGTTTAATTTCTTTGGCCAAACTTCACTCTTTAAGGTAAATTCTTGCCTGTGGTAACTGTGATGAACTGGCGTATGGTGACTCATTGTAATTATGAACTCTTGCTATTTTCATGATGTTTTGTTTATAATGTTGTCTGATTGATTCCACAAATCTTCCAGCACAACTCCTGCCCTTTAACATGAATCAATGTCCACTTTAATGATGTTCTACAGTTTTTAATTTTCACAGCATCTCAGCTTTGGAAGGGACCTTCTGGATTATCTGGTGGCTAAACAGAGGTCTCCATATATTTCAAAGCCAGAAAAGAACAGCGAATTCTCCTGATGAAATGATGTTTTGGCTTGTCAGTGCTTGCCTCCCAAATCTCCCTTGGCTCCTCAAAGCCAACATGTCCACTATTTTGGGCCAATTCCTTTGAAGCTGGGTGGTATCCAGAAGGACATTTGCCTACAGGCATTTGCTGCTACTTCCCACAGCCCCCACAGAACTTTCTCTAAAGGCTGCAGTCCTCACCCACTAGAAAACAGAGGCAGCATGATGTGACGCTGAAGAGTGTGGACTCTGGCTGAGTTTAAAGCTGGCGATGCCATATTCTCCCTGTGTGTCCTCAAGCAAGTCACTGAACCTCTGTAGCATAGGGTCATAAGGACACCTTAAAAAGCAACTGAAGGATTAAAGGAGTTAGTGCATTTAAAGTGTTTACAATACTGCTTGGCACATAAGTACCATAAGTGTTTGCTCTACTATTATTATTATCCTGTCTTAGGTCCCTACCTAACAAAAGGCTATTCGTTCAGACCACTCTGTCTCATCTAGCTATTGGGAAGACAGTAATCAGAGTTTGCATGAAGTTGAAGACAATAAATATCATTAATAGCTAATATTTACATTTGTTATTTCATCTACTAATAATGAGAAACTAAGATACAAAAAGGTTAAGTAATTTTTCCCAAGGCCACATAGCTATAAAATGGCACAGCTAGGAATCACACCCAGGCTATCTGACTTCAAAGTTCATGTATTTAAGAAGTCAATACATTAGTTTTCCCAGATGTGTTTGCATTTCTAAAGAGGCTATCCAAAGGAACGAATTTCTTTTTTTTTTTATTGCATTTTAGGTTTTGGGGTACATGTGCAGAGCATGCAATACAGTTGCATAGGTACACACATGGCAGTGTGTTTTGTTTGCTTTCTCCCCTTCACCCACATTTGGCATTTCTCCCCTGGCAATCCCTCCCCACCTCCCCCTCCCACTGGCCCTCCCCTTTCCCCCCTATAGACCCCAGTGTTTAGTACTCCCCTCTCTGTGTCCATGTGTTCTCATTTTTCATCACCCGCCTATGAGTGAGAATATGCGGTGTTTCATTTTCTGTTCTTGTGTCAGTTTGCTGAGAATGATGAGGAACGAATTTCTAATGGTCAAATATTCATAGTTCTTCTGTGGGAGGTTGCACTGGGCCAACTGAAAATATAGCACATACCCATACCACATGCCACCTCAAACATACCATGTCACCTCCAGCTGTGTCTATAAGACATTCTGTTTCCCTGGAGTTCTCCAGCCTCAATTTTCTCTATCTAAATTCTATTTGTTCCTGTAGCCTTAGCTCAAATCCCACCCAGGATGGCTGCCTGGAGTAAGCGAGCCTCTGCTCTCCTTCCTGCCTCCTGGACAAAATATTTAGTGGGCAAAACATTTTAATAAAATTAAAAATGTGGTCCATAACACTCTGAACCTTTTGGTAGGCTTACAATTTCTCTGTGTCACCTGAAATGCCATTATTTTGGTCTTAATTTCTCTCCTTTCTTCAGAGGGCCGTGCTTGTCTCATAGAATAAGACATAAACTTGTTTTGCATAGACATCACACTTAATAAGTCATCTTTATTCACTAACACTTTCCACTGAAAGAGATTAAAGATGCTTTGCCAAAATTAGCCTGCAGACGTCATAGTACCAGATGAAGAAGGATTGGAACTAGCCTGCCATCAAATTCAGAGCTGAAAGGGTGGGCCCTCTTAACTCATGTCATCCCATCACTTCATTGGTAAAGGTAAAATGGATATTGAGGCCACTGAGACCAGGAGAGGGGAAGGAATCTGTTGAAGGTGCCACAATTTGTTCATTTATTCACTCTATCATTTATTCATTCACCAACTATTTACTTGATTCCTTCTGTGTGTCTTATATTGTGCTGAATGATAAGGATACAATGCTGAGCAAGAGACATAGTGCCTGCCTTCATGGAACTTCCAGTTCGGTGGAAGAGAGCAGAGACCTAAACATTGAAAGGGGTGACCTGAGGCTGGGATCTGTCACTGGTTATTGGGGAATGAGTACTTATAAATGGTGCTGCTCTTTAATTGTTTCTCTTGAATCACAAAGTATCACTGCCTTGCTCTAACGCTGCTTCCCCTAACGTATTTTGATCAAAATCTTAAGTCATTATGACATATAACCTTAGAAATTTGTTTGTTTGTTTGTTGATGTCTTTTAAAAACAGGATCTTGCTCTGCCACCCAGGCTGAAGTGTAGTGGTGCAATCACAGCTCACTGTAACCTTGAACTCCTGGGTTTAAGTGATTCTCCTGGCTCAGCCTCCCAAGTAGCTGAGGCTATAGGTGCTCGCCACCATGCCTGGCTGATTTTTTTATTTTTTGTCGAGACAAGGTCTCAGTTTGTTGCCCAGGCTGGTTTCAAACTTCTGTCCTCAAGCCATCCTCCTGTCTCTGCCTTCCAAAGCGTTAGGATTACAGGTGTGAGCCACCATGCCTGGTCCACAGAAACTGTTGATAAGGCACCACTCTTGGATAATATGTGTCTCCTCCTTCACGCCTCCACTATCTGTGATTCTCAGGGAGACAGGTGGTTACAATGTGGCACAGGGGTTCTGGGTGCACAGAAGAGGGGCTCTGCCACTCTTCTAGGAGATCCGGAAAGTGCACTGAGAGAAAGGTCTCAGCCAAGCCCTGAATTTGAGTAGGAGCTCAAAGATGAAATAGGGCAAAGAGAAGGAGGGAAGAGAGTTTCAGATAGAGGGAATAGCTTGTCTAAAAGTTCAGAGGTGTAACAGGGAAAACTTGAGCCTACAGTGCAAAGGGTTGAAGGATGAGGAAGGTTCAGTCCCTTTCCTGGCATGACTACCATTTTATAGTAAGGGAAATGAGACCAGAGAAAAGGCTAATTAGGTTCTGGCTCATAGTGTGTGTCTCCTCTTTTGGCCTTTTCACTACAGAAAACTGTCTCTTAGACTAAGTTGGGAGGATGGTTAAATAACATCTACTCTGCCATCTTTCCTAGTGTCACCAATGGACTGAAAAGGAGTAATGGGGCTTAGGAGGAACAAGTGAGCTAGGGTTAGCACTTGGCCTTTTGAGTGTCAGCAGGGCCCTTCTTATTATATCTTGCTACTGGCCCATCTCTAAATCAGGTTTCCCCAGGATAATTCTGCTGGGAAGGAAGCACTAACCCATCAGGCTGGCTTTGAATGAACAGAACAGGTCAGAAACAGGAAGGGGGTAGACTCCTAGTGGAGCCCCAGGCTAAATTCGCAACTACTGCAGGCTGCAGGACTCAGGTGTGGAGGGTAGGTAGTAGGGACTGCACACTGTTTCTTCAGAAATATGAAGCCTTAGCATCTTCTACAAGTGGCCCAGCAGGATCTCCAAGGAACATCCTCTGGGCTCACCTACCTCCTCTAGGCTTTTTTGGGGAAGTCCTCAGAGATTTTTATTCCTCTCCCTCTTGTCTGGTGTCACCAGCCCTATCTCTGGCCTCTTCACATGTGCCTGTGCCCCAGAAAAGGCAGCCTCTCAGCTGACCTGCATCCTGGACCCTTGGCCTGGGGTGCTTTAGCGCTGTTAATTAGCAAGCCCCACTTCTCAACAGGTACATTCTGGTTTGTTGCCTTTAAAACAACATTTATTAAGCATCCATTCCCTGTCATTTACTAGCTATGTGACCTTTATCCATATTGGCACTGAGCCACTCAAGCCTCAGTCTATCTGAAAAATGCTTATGTGGTTTCAGTGAGGACTGCACACGTCATGTGCATGAAAGGCACATAATAATTTGCTCACCATGGGCACAAGACCCCTGCTGTGTGTTAGGATATGTGAGGAATACCAGGCTATACAATCCCTGGCTCTGGCCTCAGAGCTCACAGTCACCTAAGGCAATGACTATCCTCTGAGATTTGTTTCAAACTGGGTGTTGATAAACTTGCTTCTATCTCTGTCGGAATAGAACAAGAAGTGGTATATAACTTACAAATGATGGATTTAGGTTTCTTACAGAGGAGCTCCCTAAAAGTAAGCAAAAATAGTTGAGAGTTAGAACTGGGATACGTTGTGAAATGTCAATGTCCAGAAAGTTATCAAAATAGAGAATAGTTTCATTTTGTTCCTAGCGCAGTACTGAGTAGCAGGTGCAAAACCAAGGAGTGCTAGATAGATGTTTGGTTGGATGGATGCGTTAATGAACTGTTCTAGCTTGGTATAATAGAGACCTTATGTGAAGACAGGAGATGAGCTGAATGACATCTGACTTTAGCTTGCACATTTATTTTCCACATTCTGTACCTAATGTTGTGTGTAGCACTTCAAAATTCCAGATTGATTATTAATATGTAAGTAATTAAAAATTTAGGACCTGAACTCCTCTTATGTTTTATCTGCAGATCAAAAACGTCACTAAAGCATTAACTACATATGTTGTTAGTGCCAGCGTTTCAGATATGTTCATTCAAAACTTAGCTGACCCAGTGGTCATCACTCTGCAGCATATTGAAGGAAACCAGGTAATATATCCATTTTTAGCTCAAAACCAAATGGCCTCAGGAACTCGTCAGGATTTTTCTGTTAAAAGTAATTTGTTAATTAACAGATGTGATTCTAATGCTTAGTGAAGAATGTCTCATTCCAGGTAGCAAAAGGTGTGTTATAATTGGAACCTTTTAGAAATAATGCCTCATCCTAAAGTAATAGGGAATGGTGGGCATTCTAGCATTGTGACACATGGGTGGGGTGGTGACTGGAACTTTTGGTTGTCCCATCACACTAAATGACATGTGATTCCATTTATTTTTGAGTGAGGCAAACAACTTCACTCAAAATAATTGATACTTTGGCACTGTTAATTAGCAAGCCAGGTACATTCTAGTTTGTTGCCTTTAAACCAATATTTATTAAGTATCCCTCCCCTGTCATTCACTAGCTGTGTGACCTTTATCCATATAGGCATAGGTTTATTACAGGTTTCCTCTACAAGAAACCTAAACATTTATATTATTTGAATTTCCATAAAGAACATTAAAACATGTATGAATTATCACCAAAGGACTAAAAGTATAGTCATATGGCATAACATAAGGTATATATTACTAAATAATCGAATTTAGCCTAAGAACAAGAATGAATGACGATTTCATTATTTGACGTTAATGAAGTCTCAATAGATTTCTCAGTTCCCATTCTAAAAGATCATATGGTTCAGCATACTTTTCACTGCTCTTGAGTCTAGAAGGAAAGAAGAGAAGAGGGCCGGGCGTGGTGGCTCAAGCCTGTAATCCCAGCACTTTGGGAGGCCGAGGCGGGTGGATCACGAGGTCAAGAGATTGAGACCATCCTGGTCAACATGGTGAAACCCCGTCTCTACTAAAAATACAAAAAATTAGCTGGGCATGGTGACGCGTGCCTGTAATCCCAGCTACTCAGGAGGCTGAGGCAGGAGAATTGCCTGAACCCAGGAGGCGGAGGTTGCGGTGAGCCGAGATCGCGCCATTGCACTCCAGCCTGGGTAACAAGAGCGAAACTCCGTCTCAAAAAAAAAAAAAAAAAAAAGAGAGAGAGAAGAGAGGGACAGGAAATTTAAAGAAACAAATACCAAATGAAACGTGTTAGATAAGTAAGATCTCTCAATTTGGTCTGGGCTACAGCACTTCAATTATCCCCAATAACTTTTGCTTCCTGCCCGCAGTTTCCTGGAGATTATAGGAGCCAGTGAGGTCTTAGGAACGTTCTGTAGGGCTAATGGGGCCCGTCCATAAAGCTTGATCTCAGAGGTGAGCCCTGAATTCCAAAGCTCTGTAAGGAACACATCAGTCCTGCATTGACTATCCATGACCTTGTACCAGAAGGGAGCATGGCAAGTTTTAATACTATCAAATATTTTAAAGGACATACGGGATCACCAGGCAGTGCTGTTTCCTCACTTCTCTAATCCAGAGTTAAGTGGACTTAGTCTAAAAACCAATTTACAAATGGCCCAAATGTGTGTGTGTGTGTGTGTGTGTGTGCATGTGAGTGTGTGCATAACTACCATGTGAAAAAATATTAAGAAGAAAACACACGTGTATGTAAGTGACTATATGGTAACTATCACAGGCAAGATGTTTACCTCTGATTTTTTCCCCCAGAATTATGGTCAAGTTCACTGCGCCTTTTGGGATTTTGAGAACAATAGTAAGTATTTTCTTTAGCAACTTTGACTTTGCCCCAGACCATTTTCCCACTTGGCAGTTAAATGGAAGGGAGTTGTGCTGAAATTACTGTCTTGTCAGACCCTACAGAGCATTCTGAATGATCAAGATATAGGATAGGATTTTTATACCAAACTAGGGCACGGGAATTAAGACAACTTTCCTTTTTAGTAGGTAAGATCTCTCAATTCGTTCTGGGACTACAGCACTCCAATCATGCCCAATAACTAATTGCTCCTTACCTACAGTTTCCTGAAGACTATAGGAGCTTATGATAAGTATCTTAAGCCCCAAAGACAATTATTTGGGAAATCAGAAAAATCATACAACTCGAGGGTAAGCAAAGTTGGAAGAAAAAATTTGGAAGGTCCAGAGCAGAGTAGCCTTGAGCTTTTTGAAAAAAGTTGAGGAATGAATACCTGGTTTTTTTATCTGTACTTTCCCACAGGGCTTTTGCAAGATCCGTGATCTCCTTTCCTTTTTTTCTCCTCAACTCTTTTAGACTGACTGTGTGACCTTGTGTAGGCCATTTACCCCCTCTGGGCCCCAGTCTTTTTATCTTTTCATTGAGGAGATTAAACTTCTTGGTTGGTCTCTAGGGACCCTATTTGATGAATAAGCATGAGTCTTTGGAGACACACAGTAGGAAAAGAGACTGGGAACGGTCGTTGCTGACTGGGTGCTCTGAGGCCTGCCATCTTCACTGGAAATATCCGGGGTTATCACCGAATCTCAGAGAATTTCCACACAGCATCAATGTCCTCAAGAACGCCAGGAGTGTCTAAGTGAGGAGTCCTTCTGCCTGTGGAAACTCTGCCTAGGACCTTTCCCTTTTTCACTATCCTCAAAATTCTGGGATAAAAGAGAAATTCTCTTCCCATTTGGCTCCCTGGGGTATAAGAATGCTACTTCTTTCTGAAAAACAAAAATAACACTGCCCTTTCCTGATCCCCTCCAAGTCTCTCAGGATAAAACTTCTATAAAGTGATTAGCTTTGTCCCTTACAACCTTAGTAAGTTGACCTTTATGCTCATTAATGCAAATTGCTGGGATAGTCCCAAGTCACCCTTTGCCCCTGCCCCTCTGCCCCGTAGATCTAGAACCTCTGGAACCTATGGCATTATCCCAGATGGGCAAATGTTGATCATACTCAGCTGCCTGCCCTTGGATAACCCCTCTGGTCTAGTGCCACTCAGGAAGTTCTACGCTAAATCTGGTCTAGTACCTGAGATCTCAGGTTATGGAGGTTTGGTGTTAGTTCTAAACCCTGAGTGTGCTCAGAAGAAACTAGCCAGGTGTCAAGTAGAGCAGAGTCTCTTATTAGCCCTGTTGAGCTCCGGACCATGATCAGACTTTGGTTCAAATCACTTGAGACCCTTTGAATTGGGGGTTCAGCTGGGTTTTCAGATGTCTATTCCAGTCCCTCTGAGTAAGCTCAAGTGTCAGTTTATATTCCACATGTCAATGTCCTTAAAAAGATTCTAGATCTGTCTGCTTCCTACTTATTGTCTACTTGAAAAAAAAATAAATAAAAACAGTCTTTACTCGTCACTGTAGTATGGTGGCAGGACTCTTGTTCATGTTTAGAGGCTGTCCTCATTTAAAGAAGTATGGTACAAGAACAGGAAAAGTGAGAGCTGGAGAAGTTATGCCATTTATGAAATTCCCCAAAAGTCAATTTAGTCTATTAGACTTAATTTAATTTCAGTGTTCAATTATACCCCTAATCTTGCTGTCTTAGCAAATAATGCTAATTATGACACACGTTTGGATGGTGCATATAATGAAAAGTTAAACATTTCTGAGAAAAACAAAATTGCTTTGAAATTTCCTTCTGTCTCCTACAGATGGGCTGGGCGGATGGAATTCGTCAGGCTGTAAAGTAAAGGAAACAAACGTAAATTACACAATCTGTCAGTGTGACCACCTCACCCATTTTGGAGTCTTAATGGTGAGTTGTCTCTTAGTCATTCCTGGATAGAGGTTTCACAATTTTTATTAGACCAGTAATATATGTGTGAACTAAGTTATAAAGAAATGGTATGCATTTGGAAAAAAATCCCCCCACCAATTTGTTCATCCAAAGTACAGCAGATTGAGACAAATATTTATTTAGTTTTCTCCTTATAAAATTAATGCTTGCGAGAATTGCAACTCCTGCTTTTTGTTTATTTATTTATTTTCTCACATTTGATAAAATAAATTTCAAAGCAACAAAGATACAGTGGTAAAAGGATCAATGCAACAATAAGAGATCTTAATACCCAGAAACATAAGACCCATAACGAGATTTAGACTCAACGAGACAGAAAATTAATAAGGATATCCAGGACTTCAACTCAGATCTGGAACAAGTAAACTCAATAAATATTTATAGAGTTCTCCATTTTAAATACACAAAATATTGATCGGCCATTATTAATACCCATTTTTAGAATGAAGCAATATTCCTGTTCTCTCTCCCTCTTTTTCTTCCTCTTTCTTCCTCTCCTTCTCTCCTTTTTTTACTTTTTAACATCCTAGTTCCTCACCTCTACTCAATACATTATTCTGAACACCTGATTCCTTGCGATTCTCCCGTCCCACTGAAACCTCCAATCCATTAAAAAAAAAAAAAAAAAAAATTAATGCTTGCTTTTCAAATTTCCAGCAGTGCAAAACAGGTCCTTGTAACCTCCCTCCCAAGTGGTCACCACCTTTAACAGTCTAACATGTATATTCATTTAGGTTCTTTTCTGTGTATATATTAATATATGTTTTTGTTTTATAAACATGGTATCAAATTGTTTATACAGTTTTTACCAATTGTTTTTTATCTAACAGTATATATTGCACAACTTTCAGGAAAATATGTATCTATCTATTACACTTCAATTGTTAAAATTCCTTTATAGTGTACCATTGCTTGGGTTTAACACAATGAATTTAACTCACCCCTGACTGGTGGACATTTTAGCTGTTGCTGTTCTTCTCATTATAAACACTGCTCTAATACACATTCTTACTCATGTATCTTCAAACATCGGTGTAAGTATTTTTCAGGATAAGTTGACAGAATTGCTGGATTAAAGGGTCTGATCATTAAAATATTTAAATTTAAGAACCATGGGTATTTGCTGAGTTTTTTTTTCCCAAATGACTCTCAAATATATTCCTTCTTCTCTACCCACATCAGAATACTTTCCTAGATTTCTTAGGTAACTTTATTACATACTGTTATCTGAATGTGTCATATGTGACTTGTTTCTACAAAGAATGGTTAACTTTTTGAGAGCTGCGGGTTTGTTTTATATTTATTTTTTAACTATATCTATTCAACAAATAAATGGTACTCAATTGATACTTGTTAAACTGTAATAATTTTTTTCAGCTCCACTCCGAATTGGCTGGAACATTACAGTGGGAATCAAAAGACTGGGGTTGGCTCGGCACCACGGCTCATGCCTATAATACCAGCACTTTGGGGTCTGAGGTGGATGAATGGCTTTGGCCCAGGAGTTGGAGACCAGCCAGGGCAACATGGCAAAACCCTGTCTCTACAAAAAAATTTAAAAAATTAGCAGGCCGTGATGGCACACACTTATAGTTCAAACTACTCAGGAGGCTAAGGTGGGAAGGATCACCTGAGCCCAGGGAGGTCAAGGCTGCAGTGGGCCATGGTCAGGTCACTGTACTCCAGCCTGGGCAACAGAGTGAGACCCTGTCTCAAAAAAAAAAAAAAAAAAAAAAGACCAGCGTTCTTGTTCCAGCTCTGTCTCTAACCAGCTATGTGATCTTGGTAGGCTGTTTCCCTCTTTTGGATCTTACATTTTTTTTCTCTGGAATGTGAATGACTGGAGTATACCAGTGTTTCTCAATATTGGCACTGTTGATATTTTGGCCAAATAATTCTTTCTTTCTTTCTTTCTTTCTTTTTAAGATGGAGTCTTGCTCTGTCTCCAGGTTGGAGTGCAGTGGTGCAATCCTGGCTTACTGCAACCTCCGACTCCCGGGTTCAAGCAATTCTCTTGCCTCGGCCTCCCCAGTAGCTGGGATTACAGGTGCCCTCCACCATGCCCAGCTAATTTTTGCTTTTTTTTTTTTTTTTTTTAGTAGAGACGGGGTTTTGCCATGTTGGCTAGGATGGTCTTGATCTCCTGAACTTGTGATCTGCCCACATTGGCCTCCCAAAGTGCTGGGATTACAGGCGTGAGCCACCATGCCCAGCCTCAAATAATTCTTTGTTGTGGGGAGTTGCTCTGTGCATTGTGAAATGTTTAGCAGCCTCCCTGGTCCTTCCCCACTAGATGCCAATAGCACCCCCACCCCTAAGTTGTGACAACCAAAAAATGTCTCCAGATACTGCCAAATGTCCCTGGGAGAAGGGTAAAATCACTCCTGGTTGAGAACTACCAAAATAAACACTGCTTCCTAACCTTTTATGAGTCATGAATCTCTAATCATCTGATGAAGGCTACGAACCTTCTTCTCAAGCCAGTACACACATATATTTAATTAATTTTGCATGTCGTTCCAGATCTTTAATGGTACTTAATTAAGAAATGATTGAACTATGTGATCTCTAAGGTCAATTTTGTTTGTTAATTTTGCAAAGAGCTGTTTATGATCTAAGAAAAAGACCTTTTTTTTTTGTTGTTGTTCTGCGTAGTGTTTTGAGATGCTCAGTTCAGATAATGATTCACTTTGTATCCAAAATTTACATCTATTAGTTTGGTTGTATTTTAAATGTAAAGCATGTTAGTGACAATGAAACCAAGAACTAAATGTTCTTTGAACGTTATTGATGGCTCTCCATGCCCTGTATGCAGTCAGTTGGACTAGGCATATTCAACAAACAATATATGGTCTTATCCATTCACATAATCTTGTTTTACAAGAGCTATGGCAGAAATGTTATACATCCTGGGAACCTCTTGTTAGTGAGCACTGGAAGCATTTTACCATAAACTTGCTCTGGTGAATGTGTAAAACACAACACATTGTGTTCCTTAGGATTTATCCAGGTCTACAGTGGATACAGTCAATGAACAGATATTAGCGCTTATAACATACACCGGATGTGGAATCTCCTCCATTTTCCTGGGAGTTGCATTGCTGACATACATAGCTTTTCAGTAAGTTGATACAGTCTTGCTCTGAGTAAGCTTAATTTGGTTTGATGGATGCTATTGCCATTGTAACTTTGTTAATTTCATGAACACATCACAATAGGAAGAAGTCAGATCCATTAGATTATGAAGTGGACAGGTTAAAAACAAAACATCAAGGCTCCTTTAAAAATATTATAATTAGATTTTTGTAAAACAAGAGAGTTGGGATAAGAAAAGATTCTCTATTAGGATACAAGAACACCAACCCTAAAATAAAATTTCATAAAGTATACTTTATTAAGAACTTTTTAAATCAAAGGACACAATTCAGCTAGTGAAAAGCAAACCATACATAGAACATATTCACAATGCATATATCAGATAAAACACTTGTATGCAGAATATATAAATAACTCTCACAAATCAAAAAGCAAAGGACAGTAAAATTTATAAACGGACCAAAGATTTAAACAGGCATCTCACAAAGGAGAATATCCATACCTAAGGCTTACCTTTACCCAAATGGCCAATAAGCATATGATGAAGTTCTTAACATCATTACCTATCAGAGAAATGTTAATTACAACCACAGTTATGTACTTCTCTGCACCCACCAGAATGGCTAAAATTAAAAATGCTGACAATAGCAAGTGTCAACAAAGATGTGGAACAACAGGAACTCATACATTAGCTGATGGAAATGTAAAATAGTTCAGACACTTTGGAAGATTCTTTGGCAACACCTGTTAAATATAAATATGTATCACGCTATTGACCCAGAAATTTCACTCTTAGATATATACTCAAGACAAATGAGTACATATGTCCACTGAAAGATATGAACAAGAACATTTATAGCAGTTTCAGTCACAGTAACTTCAAATTAGAAACAAACCCAATTTACATTAACAGTTGTTTGGATGAATTAATTGTGATATATTTGTAAAATGGAATGCTACACAGCAGAAAAAATGAATTACTGCTATACAATACAACATAATATCTAAATCTCATAGACACAGAATTGAGCAAAGGAAGCAAGAAATATCAGACAGCATATTGTGTGGCTTCATTTACATAAAGTTCCAAACACAGTCAAAATTTATGGGGATAAATGTGAGAGAATTGGTTATCTCTGGTGGGTGATATTGAATGGTAGAAACATGAAGGAAACTTCTGTGGTCATCCCGCTGTTTGGTAAAGCTAGCTCAAACCTACTGAAGCAGTGGTGATAGAATCATAATACCCGGCAAACTTCTTCCTTTTTTCTAAAAGATAAAAAGAAAAAAAGGGACTGCCTAGTTGAGAGAGGCTATTACTATTTCTGTTAGTGAAGGTCACTATATTTATTATACTTCGATTCTACCTGGAAAGAGGATGAGGGACTTTGAAATTTAGGACGTATAGGCTAAGATGAGTAATTCTTTTATTCTTTCACTTATTATGTAGGCAAGATGTGGTGATGTTTAATTTAAAAAAAGAAGACTTTACCTAAATATTGTACTTTCTCTTTTAGCAAACTTCGAAAAGATTATCCTGCCAAAATCCTGATCAACCTGTGCACAGCACTGCTGATGCTAAACCTGGTATTTCTGGTCAATTCTTGGTTGTCATCATTTCAGAAAGTGGGAGTTTGTATCACAGCTGCAGTGGCACTTCATTACTTCCTGCTTGTTTCGTTGACTTGGATGGGCTTGGAGGCGGTTCACATGTATTTTGCTCTAGTCAAAGTCTTCAACATATATATTCCAAATTATATCCTTAAACTTTGTCTAGTTGGTTGGGGTAAGTATATCTGCCATTGTTTTTGATATTTCTGTCTTAAGCCTGTGTGTCTTTCTAATTCTAGCTCTGTTAGACAGATTCTGGTAATATCGTAGGCAAAAAATTAAGGATTGCCTAGTTGGTATTTGGTCATGTATCTTTTTTTCTTCATGTATTGCTCTATAAATTCAATGCTTAGCCTTTATGGTGAGGAGTTAATGCACAAATATTTACTTAGTACTTAATGTACTAAGTACTAAGTACTGTGTGCTGTGCTAAGTGCTGGCTTTACAGTAGTGAACAGATTTTAACTCTTCCTTTACAGAAGTTACAGTCACAACAAATACTAATAAAACAGATAACACTTAGGTAGCACTTACATGTGCTAAATGCTATTCTAAGTGCTTTACATATGCATGTAATCCTCATAATATCTCTATAGGATAGATTCCATCATTATTCTCATTTAATAGATGAGGACACCGGGCACAGAAAGATGAGGTAATTTGCCAACTCACACAGCTAGTAGGCAAGAGAGCTGGGATTTGAGCCAGGGAGTTTGTCTCCATAGTTTGGACTTCTAACCTCTATGGTCTTGCCATATTATTTAAAGAACAGGGAAAGGACTTGAAATGGGTAAAAGAGTGCTGGGTCACCCAGAACCTGATTCTCGTGACACCTTATGACTGGTGATCACTGCTGCCCTTGGAAGAAGCCAGGAATGGTCCTCAGCGTAGATCTTTTCAAACACAAATGTCATGTCATTGGCTTGCTTTCTTGTATTTCTAACTGACATGGTCAGCTTGGTTCCTTTCCTTTCTCTCCCTTGTGTATTCAAGCCAGATTTGGGGTTCAGAAAATGTGTTAGATGCGTAGGAGATGTATATTAAGTAGCATACCTAGGGTACATAGGAACATAGATTTTATCTTCCACTGCTTTTGTGCAGACAACAGCTTCCTAATTAGCTACCCATCCCTTTAATGAGTTCATTAACATAGTACAGGCTTTCACTGGATACAGTCAGTGCTATTATCTAGGCTAATATGGGGAGCAGAGACAGGCAACTACTGAACAGATCACAATCTAAAAGCTTGTTTTAGTACACTTTGAAATCCATCAGAAACACAGAGCCAAAAGCAGTCGATACACTCCCCTTGGTGCCTTGTGTCCCTTATCTTGATTCAATCAGAGGATTGAAATATGTGGAAGAGCCTTCATGAATAATCCAAAAAGCAGATAAAGATAAGCCACATACAGCCAATTGTGAAAGAAAGGACTGTAAATATCACTCCAACCTGGCTTTCCTTCTCCCTCATCATCACTCATTCCCAGTTTCTTTTTCAAACCCTTCCTTCAGGACTCACTTCTTATCTCTTTGATCTGATTTCACGCACATTTCCTGGGTTACAAGGAGAGGCAGGAAAGGCTAAAGCTTGGTACTTGGAAGCAGGAAAACCTTGAGTTGCACAAGCTGAGGAGCCTGACTGGCTCAATCAGTAAAGAAAGATACAATGAGGCCAGGCTCGGTGGCTCACGCCTGTAATCGCAGCACTTTGAGAGGCCAAGGCGGGTGGATCACAAGGTCAGGAGTTCGAGACCAGCCTGACCAACATAGTGAAACCTCCTCTCTACTAAAAATATAAAAATTAGCTGGGTGTGATGGCACATGCCTGTAATCCCAGCTACTCAGGAAGCTGAGGCAGGAGAATTGCCTGAACCTGGGAGGCGGAGGTTGCAGTGAGCCAAGATGGCGCCACTACACTCCAGCCTGGGCCACAGAGTGAGACTTCGTCTCAAAAAAAAAAAGAAAAAGAAAGATACAATGAGCCACCCTTAGGTTCAGTTTATTACTTACATAAACTGTGAAAGGAAGGGTACCTAAAAGTGCCAGCTCTCAGGTTCTTGTCCCCGACACTAAAAAAAAAAACACCACCAAAACAAAAGGGAATGGATGACTGCCCTTTTGTCCATGAGTTTTAGGATTCCCTGTAGCTGAGGAGCTAGTTTTAAATGGAAGTGATGCTATTTTTTATTCCGCAGCCCTATTCTGAAGGGGCAGGGTACAAAGGCCCACACCTCCCCAGAACCCTGGGAGATGATGGATGAGAAGCTGTCTCCTGACAGCCTCCTGTAGGAGATAGGGAGGCGAATAGGAGATGGCCCAGAGCACCTCCTCAGAGGCCTCCCATCTTCTCAAATGTGTAGAGGACTGCAGGGCACACGGTCCAAATTCAGATAAGGCTTTACTTGCGTGGTCTATGTGGATACATGCAAGGTCACCAGGGAGCCACAGCTGAGCTGTCCCGCTACAGGGAGTTTCAGAGCACTTCAATATTAGACAAAGGCAATCAACTGTTAGGAAAATAGATATTAGCATCTGTTTATGTTTGAAGCTCTGCCTTATGAATGCCAAAGCAACCTGTTGGAAAGGTTTATACTTTTAATGACAAAAAACGCAATTACTTTTGCACCACCCTAATGAATTCCTGTCCAATACAGTAGATTTTTCCATATTTTAAAAATAACAGACAGTAGGGATTATTTAAAAACAATTTCAATATGTAAACTCAGCTTAAAGACTGCCACACAACTTCTATCCTAAATATGAGACCTTCCTCTGTTCCTCCCTTCCAGACTTCAGGGGGTGTTTTAAAGAATATCTGCAGCAGCATTCTAGGTGCTGTGCTGGGGGACGGCCATACAGATTTGAAGGGACTATCCTGTTTATCACAGAAGGGGACAGTGGAGGATCTTTCAACATACTTGGCGTTCTGGGCTTTGGAACAGCTTTGGAAATGTAACAAAACCCTTAAAATGTATGTAGGTGTATGCTCTTAGTCTAGGAGAAATACAATTGAGAGATAAAGAAATCATTTAAGTTTTGCAAATGTACGTGAAATTGGATTTTTAAACCCTGTGTCTATACTCTCCTCACGTTTGACCATTTTGACTGAACTGATTGCTTTATTATAGTCTGACCGAATTGAGTGGTCATTAACTGGTCGATCTAGTCAAAATGTCAAACTAGTAACGAGTGTGGAAACAGCTTCCCTGTCAAAAAAGCATTGAAGGCTGGAGCTGACTGCCTGTGCCCTTCCCCTAAGGTGACCTAGACAAAAAGCTACTGGGAACGAAGTGGGCGATGTGGAAAGGGAGTGAAAATTAGGGGCTCATCATCGGAGAAGAAATGCCCGATACAAACGTGCATTCCAATGAACTAGATACTTCTTTTGCCAAGTTGATTTTTTGGCACTTGAGCTATTTTTAATAACTAGTGGGCGTTGTATTAGAGCCATTGGCATGCTGTGTAGTTTAGCAGATTGGAGAAGTCCTAGAAATGTTTAAGTTGGAAGAATTCACAAACATTTTGCAAACAATGGTATTTTGATGCCTGCACATCTGTGGCTCATTTAAACAGTGTCTTAATGGATCATCACCACAGTCATTGATTAGGGTCCCTCCCTGCTACCTGTTAAAATACCTTTGACTGGCTCTCCCACTGTAGGAATCCCAGCGATCATGGTGGCAATCATAGTCAGTGTGAATGAAGATCTGTATGGAACTCTGAGCTCAACAACTCCATTGTAAGTACCAGCATCTCTGCTTCTCTGGTGGCGGGGCTCTGACCCAGCAGGGTATGGTAAAGTGTTGTCAGCCTGGGATTGGAATTGACCCTGACTTCAGGATGAAATTAGCCTAAGCCCTTTTGTCCTAAACATAGTCAAGGCCACATTCATGTAACGGTTAGTTGCCCAGGTCTTCTATGATTTTGGGCAAGTTACCTTACCTTTTAGTTCAATTACAGACTCTGGAAAATGGGGAAAATAATGTTTCCTCTTAATGTCCTGTGCAAATTAAAATAATAACATGTATGTAAGTTGCTCAGCATGTTGCCTGTTCTATGGTAAATGCTGTATAACTGGCAGCTATTATGATTACAAAACTCACACATCAGGTCATTGAAAGGAGTTAGTGTCCACCACAAGGAAATTCTGAGATGATTTGGAAAACATTTTTTACCTTTCAACAACAAAGATCGTCCCTGAAGAAAACTGAACAGCTTTCCTTTGTAAACAGCCTCTGCTTTGTTGTTCTCTTGTTTCTTTTCATGTTTTTCCTTTTCTTCCCATTTGACGTATAAGCTCATCTCTTTAGTTCTCCCAATCACAACCACAAGAGAGTAGCAATTCACTTCACGCCATCTCTTCGGAACCTTCTTTTACAGGTGTGTAGATAGTTGCCCTGTGGTCCTTTAGGTTGCACAATCTCATTTTACACTTCGGATTATTCCATTCTTCTTATCATTGCCTATCAAGTTCTCTTCCACTATAGATTTCCTCTCCCACTGGACTGGAATCCAGTGGGAGGTCCTGCTCCAAGACTCACCCGTCTTTCATATTGAGATGACCGTTTCCAGGAGGTCAAAATTACTTTGCCCTTTGCAGCAGATCCTTTCTAATTAAAATTCCTTGTTATCTTTTCTTTCTCTTCCCTTCCTTCTCATTTCCCCCTCCATCCTCTCCCCCTTGCCTGTTTTGTGACTTAAAAGGCCCCCAGTGTCTACCTAATGGTGATTCTTCTTGAACCATCAAAAGCAAGAGCGAAAGCAAAACCAGAACAAAATCAACTCCACTTTTTCCCAAAAGAGACTTTTCAGATGTGACTTGTTAGTAAGAGGCAGGCAGCTCCAAAGTTGTTTTTTTTTCTTCAAATTATATTTTGAAGTAATTCATGCACATGGAACAAAATCCAAATGTACAACAGGGTAGAGGATGAAAGGTAAACCCCCTCTCCAACCCCTAGCTACCCAGTTTCCCTCCTTCAGGTAATTCATATTACCAATTTATTACCAACAATCAAATTTGTATGAATATTCTCTCGCACACTTTGTTACCCAAATGGTAGATATACACCGTTTGGCAACTTGGTCTTTTCACTTAACAATATATCTTGGAGGTGATTTTCTACCCAAACATACAACACTATGTCTTTTTAACAGTTTTCTACAGCGTACTTTAAGGATGTCAATGATATTCAGGGAACCCTAGGTATCAGACTCTATTAGGAAAATTAAATATTTTTAACACGTTTGCAACACACACACAAAAACTCACACATATGTGAAAGTATCCACACCAATATAAACAACATGACCAAAAGAGATTTTTCTGGCTTTAGAAAAGAGAGCTCAACTAAGTTGACACACAGTTAAATTAGTCAAGCTTGTCTGTGTTCAAAAATCAGGGACAATGCCTCCAGTAATTGCAAATGCTATTAAATGGAGTATCTGTTCATGTGAGGCACTGCATGCTTTTTCTTTAATAAAATCTATAGAGTCATTAATCAATTTCGTGGCCAGTGTTACATTTGTCATCCAAATACATCATATTTTAAAGCAGTACACCTAGAGCTATGCTGTTTTTGTTGCATTTTCATTAACTTTCATAATCTCACCATTGTTTGATACAGCATTCAGAAAAGCCACTCACTGCTCACGTCCTTTCACTGTGATATTAACCATGTGAAGTAGATTTCATCCTACAAATAAGAGCTCAGGTGTAAGGTGGTTGGGTGGGTGTGCAGAGGCGGTGAGGGGAGCACGGCATCAGAGAGCCTCTTTGGGAAAAAATACATCATTTGTTTTTCTGCTGTTAACGAAGAAAATAGTTTCCTAAGGAATTAGCCTGAGAGGTTTCTGCATATGTAGGGCAGAAACATCCTCTAGGATTTCTGAGTCAGAGTTGGAAAGAACCCTGAACTGGGGCTCAGGTTCTTGTCCCAGCTCTGCCTCCAGTTGGTGTGAGTGAACTCTGTCTAGTTCATCTAAGGCTAGATACCCTTAGGGTGAAATAAACTGAATAGATGATCTTCAGTCTCTGAGAAATAGGACTTTCTGTTTCCCTTTCTCATGATAGTCTTCTTTGTTTCTTACAGTTGTTGGATTAAAGATGATTATATCTTTTACATCTCAGTGGTGGCTTATTTTTGCCTCATATTTCTCATGAATCTCTTCATGTTCTGCACTGTTCTTGCTCAACTGAATTCTGTGAAATCCCAAAGCCAGAAGACTCGGCGGAAGATGATCCTGCATGACCTCAAAGGCACAACAAGCCTGACATTCTTACTTGGCCTCACCTGGGGGTTTGCCTTTTTTGCCTGGGGACCCGTGAGAATCTTTTTCTTGTATCTTTTTGCTATTTTTAACACTTTGCAAGGTAACTGCTGCTTTTTTGCCTTTTCCATGGCCAGCTACACCTCCAGCAAAGCTTTTGTTGCTTTGAAAATAATCTCACCTGTTGCAAAGTGAAAAGAGAAGAAAATGCTCAAGAGACCCCTGCTCTCATTGAGTTAATAGGCAGCCATTGGAAACATTAACTAGATGTTAGTCTTCGTTAAATGCACACACAGCTCACTCTCTCTAACTCAAGGGTATAGGGAGAAGCCTAGATAGCTAACCCAACTTTAGCTAGTTGAAAATGTCTGTATCAAACACTGATTGGTAACACTTCTTACACTATTCATTGTAGCAACACATTGTGCTAGAAAATGTACAGATTCACACTAATGTTGACATTTTGAGGTACACAATCCAGCTAAACGTTGTAATTAACTGGAAAGCAGAAACATTAAAGTTTTGATCCCATAGGCTGTATCTGCATCTGATATCCTAATATTTTGGGAAAGAGCCAGGCTACACGATCATAGAATTATACAGGAATGAAGATTAAAAGCAAAGGCTGTGGGAAAGGCCAAGATTCTAGCCTTGATTTTGCTATAACAATCTTCAAAAAGTTACCATAATTGGTCGAATTAGATGATCCTGAACTAAAGGCCCTAGAGATCTTTTAATTATTTTCCTTTATTCCGATGAGATGAACAAATTATCAATGAAGTGACGAAATGGTAGACAAAAGATGGCATGAGTAGTAAAAGCTAGGGGCCAGGAGCGATGGCTCATGCCTGTAATCATGACACTTTGAGAGGCTGAGGCGGGAGGATCACTTGAGGTCAGGAGTTCGAGACCAGCCTGGTCAACATGGTGAAACCCTGTCTCTACTAAAAAACATAAAAATTAGCCGGGCATGGTGATGTGCGCCTGTAGTCTCAGCTACTTGGGAGGCTGAGGCAGGAGAATCACTCAAACCCCAGGAGGCAGAGGTTGCAGTGAGCTATAATCGTGCCACTGAACTCCAGCCTGGGTAACAGAGTGAGACTCCATCTCAAAAAAGGAAAAAAGAAAAAGGTAGGGATGTGGTTCATATAAATCTGAATAATTGCTGCTGCTCATTTTAACCTGATTTTGCCTATTAAAAATATTGGGGGGAAGAGGCATGCAAAATGATTTTGTGGGAGTCTTTGATTCTACCCCAAACTTTTTTATCCTCAAGTTTGGTCCATTTTGGCTACTGGGACAGGCTGAGTGTCAACTTGGCATTTCATTGAGTTAGTTTCCCTTCACACTCTCCACTATTTTTTTCATTAATAAGCCCTTCTTTTCAATACTAATGGTCCCATGGGATGCTCCCGCAAGGAAAAGGTTCTATGGCCAAATAACTTTGAGAAATGTGGCAAATACATCCCCCCGTTCTTAGAATAGCACAATATGCATTAGCATGGTAAAAGCTCTATTATGAAAAAAAAATGCCTTTAAAAATTTGTTTTAATGTAGTGTCTTACAAACCTCTGAACCCTTTATTGTGGTCATTGTTAATCCCTGAGGGGCCTTGGGAAAAATTAACTGGCATGCAGGTATTATATGCCAGGCACTTGCAAAGTGCTGCAGGGAGATGGGAAAGCAGTGAAGCAGAAGGCATGGCTTTTGCATTTATGTTTTATGACTCAAGAAACCATCTCATTTTAGAGCAGTGAGATGGATTAATGGAAACTTTCTGTCCCACCAGATGCTGCCAACTTTATACAGCCATGTTCTAACTGGAATGTAAGAAGTCACAAAGTGTGTTGTTCTTCCTTCACGTGCCATTTTTATTGCCTCTGGTAGTAGGAACAGAATGTTTAGAATCGCTCCATACCACCCTCGCTCAGTTCCCTTGGAGGCTGCTGGCACTTGCTTGAATCCTAGTGTAGAACTGAAGGTTGTATTCTAGTGTAGGACTGAGGCCCTGGTGATGGTTCTACACCTTTTTTCTGGACAGAACTGCCTGGCCCACACTGCAGTACTCTAACTTGATTCTCTAACCTCAAGAACTTAACCAGGCTTGGTGTAGAGTGTCCACGGAAATGGTTTAGTACCCAGGTGCCCGTGAAGACTTCCTCCACTTGGTAACTCCAGGCTTCTTTTTCGCTCACTGATTCTGAGGAGAAATATACTCACTTTGTGGAAAGACAGGTTAAAGAAAGCAAGGCAATTTTGAGCTTAAAAATGGAGGGCAGGAGTGTTTTCAAAACTACTCTTACAATGGAAAGAAGCATCTAAGGAGGGAGCCTGCATGGACAGAAGCAGAATTTAATAGGGTGTTTCCCTTTTTCAATTTTAATTTCAGATTCAGGGGGTACATGTGCAGGTCTGTTACCTGGGTATATCATGTGATGCTGAGGCTTGGGGTATGAATGATCCCATCATCTAGGTAGTGAGCATAGTACCCTATGGCTTTTCAACCCTTACTTTCTCCCTCCTTTTCCCTCTAGGCATCTCCAGTTGTCTATTGTTGCCATCATTATGTCCACGTGTGCCAATATTTAGCTTTCACTTACAAATGAGAACATGCAGTACTTGGTTTTCTGTTCCTGCATTAATGCGCTTAGTATAATAGCCCCTAACTGCATCCATGCTGCTGCAAATGACATGATCTCATTCTTTTTTATAGCTGTGTAGTATTCCATGGTGACTATGTAGACACTTTCTTTATCCAGTCCACCATTAATGGGCACCTAGTTTGATTCCATGTCTTTGCTGTTGTGAATATCTTTGCAATGAACACAAGAGTGCATGTGTCTTTTTGGTAGAGTGATCTATTTTCTTTTGATATATACCCAATAATGGGATTGCTGGGTCAAATAGTAGCTCTGTTTCAATTTCCTTGAGAAATCTTCAAACTGCTTTCCACAGTGGCAGAACTAATTTGCATTCCCACCAACATGTTCTAATTGGGTATTTCTTGAAAACTAAAATCAAAGTCCCGTAGATCCAGCATCAACAGAGCCAAGCTGTCTTTGTCAGATATGCCTTATGTCCATCAAGCACCAAGTCTTGCCAATCCTGCATAAAATACGTAGAAGACAGAATATGCCATCTTGTAGCAAAGGTGTTTTCAAAGCCCAGAGTTTCTCTCACACACACACGCACGCACGCAAAATGTGACCCAAATAACCTCCAAAATGAGCAGTGGAACAGTGAATGAAGTAGCCATTTAAAAGACAAATGGCAAGCTTGCAATGCTGGCTGAAGGGGATGGGGGTGGCCTGCGGTCAAGCGGGATTATGCTCCTGGTGAGCTATTTGTGAAGGAGGACAAATAAAAATGCAGGTGACAAAAACCTGGCATCTTCCCTCATGGCTGTGTTTTTCTGGTGAGTAAGCAGATCAATCTGTTATTGGAAAGGAAAAGGAAGGCTGTCAGGCAGAGGGGGAGAGCTGGCAGGCAGCTCATTGCAATTCACAGAATAACCTTTAAGTCTGAAAGCTAACTAAACACCATGCAAGAAATCAGAGCAGTAACAGGTGCTTGATGTCACTGTCACCCCTTGTACATGCTGAAACTGGAGGAGTTTTGCCTGCTCTGAGACTGTAGTTTGCTCTCCTTGGGGTGCTGCACTGCCTTCCAGGTGGCTGCTGCTCAGAAGAACAGTGAAAGCTGCTGAATTTGTCACCGCAGTTGTTTGGTTACCCATGGAGATAAAGCCCTTGGGAAAGTTAGCGAGACATGTCATTCCGTTTAGCCTCCAGATTGCTACCTCCCACCTGGAATCACAGTCTCAGGGCTGGGGCTAGGGAGCCAAGATCTTTCCAATCAAACTTCACATCGAGAGACAGGAAGTCACTTGCCTCTGAAACTTTCCAGGGACGGAGAACTCACCATTCCATAAAGCAAAGCGTTTAACTTACTTTTATTTTTTTGAGCTGGAGTTTTGCTCTTGTTACCCAGGCTGGAGTGCAATGGCGCGATCTTGGCTCACTGCAACCTCCACCTCCTGGGTTCAGGCAATTCTCCTGCCTCAGCCTCCTGAGTAGCTATGATTATAGGCATGAGCCACCATGCCCAGCTCATTTTTTGTATTTTTAGGAGAGATGGGGTTTCACCATGTTGACCAGGATGGTCTCGATCTCTTGACCTTGTGATCCACCCGCCTTGGCATCCAAAAGTGCTGAGATTACAGGCATGAGCCACCGCGCCAGGCCCGCGTTTAACGTCTTATTAGCTCTGATGTGGTACCAGTTTTCCTTAGCTGAGGCTAGTATAAAGTACAGCAGTTTATCCCTTGGGCTCTCTAGTCAGACTTCCTGCATTCAGGCCTGGTTCTGGCAGCTCAATGTTAGCTCTGTGACCTGGGTCAAGTTTACTAGGCTTCTTCAACTCCGAGTTCTCTCAACTATAAAAATGGGACTAATAGTATAATTCCTATCATATACTCATTGCTAAATAAACACTAGCTGTGATTTGTTAGTACGTGGTTGCTCTGGAACTTTCTTCCATTGCTCCTGGTTCTAACCTGGCAAACATACAGATACAAGCCTAATTTGTCCTTTTCATGACAGCCCTTTGAGATCTGTGGCTAAGTTAACATCTCTTCTCACCCTATGTTTTCCACTCCAAGGTTTTTTGTTTGTTTGTTTGTTTTTAAATCTAGATACAGCACCCCAGCTCTTTCAGCTTTTCTTCAAGTTCATCACTATCTTTCTTCACTGTATTCTCGAATACTTCTGTTTGCCATCTTCCTCTTAAAACAAAGCCTCCCAAACTTGACATGGTGCTGGTGGGAGGTATAGTCAAACCCGGACAGAATGGCAGGAGACTGTCACTGGCCTCAGTTAAGATTCTTTACTTCCAGTAGTGCTCTGGCTGAAATTTGCTTAGGGAACATTTACAATTGACTGGTGCTCAGTTTGCAATGGGTTAAGACCTCCCTGACACTAATGGTTTTCCTTCAGGACTACTGACCAATGTAGAGGCAATCTAAACCTGTATAGAGAATAAAGGTTTCCAAACTGCACTTTGGTCAAAATAAATATTTTGAGCCTCAAGAAGTTATCACTATGTTGTAGATGGATGTGAGAGTTTGCGTATCAAGTGCCTTGAAGTTTGAATCAACAAATATGTACTGAGCTGCAGCACTTAGTGTACTAAAGACCAAGGTCAAAATGACATAAATATGAAAAGAAAACGGATCTTGGCCCTCAAAGACTTAACAGCTAGGTGGAGAAATGGGAAATAGATAAATAATTACATGGCTAAGTATAGCAAATAATACAAGAAACAAAATGTTATAAGAGTTCAGAAGTGGGAAAAATGAGTTTCAGTTTGAAGCATCTGGAAAGGCTTTGTGGATAAAGACTTTTTATAATGGACCGTGAATAAAAGTCAGGCTGTTGACAGGAGTTATTTCTGCCAATTCTACCCCCAACTGCAGGAAATCTAATTTTAGACTGTCTTGCTCTATTGCTCAGGCTGGAGTGTAGTGGCTCAATTCTGGCTCACTGCAACCTCTGCCTCCCAGGTTCAAGTGATTCTCGTACCTCAGCCTCCCAAGTAGATGGGATTACAGGCATGTGCCACCATACCCAGCTAATTTTTGTATTTTTAATAGAGATGGGGTTTCTCTATGTTGACCAAGTTGGTCTTGAACTTCTGGCTTCAAGTGATCCACTTGCCTTGGTCTCCCAAAGTACTGGGATTACAGAAGTGAGCCAACACACCCAGCCAAGATAATATTAAATCATATTTTTATCTTCCAAGGAGAGATTTTAGAGGGTCGCAATGAGAAATGGCCAGCATTGCTGGCAAATACTTTCAGCCCCCTCCCTCCCACTTGCAGGACAAAATCAGGGCTGGCATAAGAAGTTGAGGGCCAAATCTGTGGTTTCAACATGGTGTCATTATGCCAAAAAGCATGTGTAATAGTTATTTATTGCTATGTAACATATTACCCCCAAATTTTACCAGGCTAAAACAACAAACATTTACTATCTCACACAGTGTCTGGGGATCAGGAATTCAGGAGCAGCTTAACTGGGTGTTTCTGACTCAGGGATTGTCGTAAAGTTGTAGTCAAGCTGTCATCTGGAGCTGCAGTCATCCGAAAACTTGACTGAGGCTGGGAAATGTGGACTGGAAGCCTCAGTTCCTTATCATGTGGGCCTCTCCATAGAGATGCCAGGATGTTCTCAGGACAAAATACTTGGCTTCCTTCAGAGTGACGAGAGTGAGAGCAAGAGAGAGAGAGAGAGAGAGAGAGAGAGAGAGAGAGAGGGAAATATGTCTTTTATAATCTAATCTTGGAAGTGACATGCCATCCCTTCTACCATATTCTGTTGGTACAATGTGGAAGGAAACTACACAAGGATGTCAGTGGTAGGACAGGATGTTGGGATCATTGAGAGCAATCTCAGAGCGGGGCTACCTTACTTCTCATGCTCTAGGATGAACGACAGCGCAGGGGCAAAGCAGTAGTTGACATGAAGTCTTGATACAGACCATTTTGCCTTTGGGAGGGAGGCTACAAAGACAAGATCAGAAAGCCAGTAATGGCCCTGAGGTTCCTTGAAAGCAGTATTTCTCGTGATAGAAGCGGGCCTGAGTCAGGGCATTGGTGACAGCACGTGAAAGAAACTGAAAAAGACTGACCTTCTTCTCCTGGCTTAGGATTCCTCATTTTTGTGTTTCACTGTGTGATGAAGGAGAGTGTGCGGGAGCAGTGGCAGATTCACCTCTGTTGTGGGTGGTTGCGATTGGATAACTCTTCTGGTAAGATGTCAGTTTGGATGAAGTTTTGAATTTTACATGTTTTACAAAACTGATCAGATTAATTTGTCTCCTAACTTGAGTTCATACAGCATCAGCATCAAAACACAGGCTGTTTCCATGTCATGAAAATGATTTGTGCTTTTGAACTGAGATGAATGAAGTTAAGTAAAGGATGTGACTTAGGCCATATTTTAAACTAGGGATGCTTTTGTTTTGGCCCAGATTCCTTGGATTGCTTACCCTCACTGTCACATCAGTCTCAATTCAATTAAAAGAACATTGAGTGAGTGCCTACTGTGTTCCAGTCACTGGGTCTCAGGGGCTTCTGGCTGGTAGCCAACAGTGGGTTGAGTGGATGTAGGAAGCAAGGAGTGGTGGTGGAGATGGAGGGAACTTATAAGCATTCCTGAGATGCATGTCCAATGGGCTGCACAGGTGCACTGATGGCCCACACACTGGGGGATGTACTGAACTCAGATGTTGCCTCTTAACGCTGGTGCTTCCCTTGAGAATGTTTCCAGTACGGGCAAACTGATGTTCTATGTATCAAAAGGATCTTCCATCCAATTCAGGCAGCTTCTCCCAGTCTCAGTAAAGCCAAATTCATTTTCTTTAGGGAAGGCAGCACTTGAACTCTAAGATTCTATAAGTAGCACTGAGATTCCACCATTCCCCACTTTACGCCGGCCATATTAGTAATCTTCTGGTCCTTGTGCTCTGGGAAAAGCAGGCATCCTTGGTACGTGAATTGTCTCTTCCTGTACCACACATTACAGTACAAACCTACTTCTTACAACTTCACAAAAAAGCTGACTCCTTGAGGTACCCAGAATGAACATTGTGCATCGAGCTTTGTATTTTTTTAAACCACATTATTGATGTGTAAATCATACATCATGAAATTCACTACTTTAAGTATAGAATTTGATGAGTTTTATATTTTTAACTTTTCTTGGTATCATTTCAGATGGGAGCAGCCGATGTCGGATAAACATTGGCTATAAACAGGAGGGACTAAAGAAGACCTTGGAGCACAAACTGTTGATACCATCCCTCAAGTCAACTGCAACTAGCTCCACTTTCAAATCTTTAGGCTCTGTGCAAGGCACACCTTCAGAAATAAGCTTTCCAAATGGTAAGAAAAAGGCTGTGTTGTCTACATTCATATTCCAGAGGTATTGAACTAACGTGAGACCACATACTGAGTCTTGGATGATACTTCCTCTTCAAAACTAGATGCATATGTGCACATATATGCCTCGACTCATTCTTGACTGAGAAAGTGTATGTAGAAGCATAGAAATGTGTACAGAAGCATGTATAGGTGTTTTTGTGCCCAGTAAATTTACGAAGTATAAATGTGTTGTTAGACTAATAGAGGAAAGAAGAGATGGGAGGTTAGAAAATTCATGAGTAATTAAAAACAATTGTCACAGACTGTTGAAACCAGAAGGAACCTAGACATTGTCTAGTCCAATCCCTTTATTTTACAGTAGAGGAACCTCAATTGGGGAAAAGGAAAATGCCTTATTGACAGTCACTGAGCCCATCCTAACCAGCCAGTAGAACTGGGGCCAGAACTCAGGTCTTCTGGCTCTCAGGGCTATTATACCTACCGAGGAAACTCTCAGAGATACACATCATTCTTAGGTGCTGAACTTCTTCCATAGGACTCCATATTTCTAAGCAGAGACAGATGTTCAACTGGGGTCGGGGTGTTGTGCCTAATTATATAAGAAGAGAAAGTGTAGGAAAAGGATTGGCTTACAGGTTTAAGGTAAAGAGAAAGGCAAAGTGAGCAAGAACTGAAGAACTTCAGGTTGATATTACGATGATTCTTTCTGCGTGTGTGCTTCTAATTAGATGATGGTGCAGTGGTCTTTGGTTGCCTTTATTTAAGACCAAAGTATACTCCAGTTCACACACACTTTGGTGGCCTGGCTGTAGTCATTCTTCCACCTCTGTAGTGCTGGAGGTAGGACTGCCTCATCCACTAGTATTTTTCTTTATGTTGGCTCCAAAAACCAAGTCTACGTCCAAGGCAATCTGGAAGCAGCATGGTGGATTTAAAAAAAAACCATTAAACTTGGAGTTCAAAGGCTTGGGTTCAGGTTCCAGCTCTGTCAGTCACTCTGTGACCTTGAGCACATCACTTCTCTGCTTGGAGCTGCATTTTTTCTACCTTTAATATGAGGGAACTGGAATGGATAATTTGTAAGGTGCCTGCCAGCTTCAGGACTGTGTAAGAGGCAACATTATCTTCCAGTTTAGGCTGGGGTTGACTAGTGTATAGAGTCTTAGTCTCCCATCTTTGTATGGAACAGTTAGTGGTACACATGAAAAAAACCTTTCATTTATCATACTGGCCAACTAACCTGTGAATATATCTTCATGCTCATATAAAGGCACTGGGATGGCATGGCATAGACAAGGCATGGGTCGTGGAAACTCCTTAGTAGATAAGAGTTGGGGCGGGTTGGGAAATAACATTTTTTCAAGAGAGTTAGTTAATATTGGATTTCTTGATGTTCCTGGGGACTAATGTTTAAGTAGCAAATATGCAACCCTATGTGTACATATTTTGCTTCAGAGGATCACTAGCAAATACCATGTCCAGGATATTGATGGCGTCTTACCAATCAATAGACCTAGAAAACCAGCATTAAAGTGATCATCAGTTGAGACTAACTGAGCCAGTGGGGCAGGTAGACCTGCCACAGGCTCTAAAACTGAAATCTGAGTGCTACCATTGTATTGGTGGCAGCCAGAAGCTTGATTCTATTAGCAGAGAGTGAAAAATCATGCCTTCTGTACCACCAGGCATTCTCAAACTTGGGAAATAGCCAAACTTTCAGTGCAAGAATATCAAATCCGTAAGGGATATAGGTGTGTGTGTTTGCATTTTACATCATCTCCTCTTGAAGGCCTCCAAGGTTTGTGCATAAATATCCTCTTCTAGGTTAAGGTTAAGGTCAATAATGCTGCCTGCTATTCACAATGTAGGAAGAAGATAGGCACTAGTTGCCCGAACACTTCTATCAGGATGAATTAATTCACCCCAGTTTCATATAAAATGGTCCAAAGAAGGCACCGCATCCTTTTCTTCTCTTCTAATTTCTTTATTTTTTTCCTTCATTTAGTGAAATTTTCTTCTGCCTCTACTACATGCAAAATCCCTGATGCCACAGCTGAAAATGTTCTTTTTTTCTTTACTGCAGATGACTTTGACAAAGATACCTACTGTTCCTCTCCTTGAGTTGTGAAGTTGTGCCTAATTATATAAAAAGAATATAACACCTGTGGAAATTAAAATGAATTCCAAGTGTATACTTGCTCGGGTGATGGGTGCACCCAAACCTCACAGATCACCACTAAAGAGTGTACTCATGTAACCAAATACTACCTGTTCCCCCAGAAACCTATGGAAATCAAAAAACTTAATAATACAGAGCAAAACAAAAATCCCAAAAGGAATTCCATTCACAAACAGAATTTTTCAATAAATCCCAGTAGAGATAGTTGCCTCCTCCCAACCCCTGACTGGGGAAAATGTTGAATTTGTGAAACAATCTGCTCCAACCTTGTATTTTAAATATTATTTTAAAAGGGGAAGAATAAGATAACATTTGGTAAATATTAAAGTCAGAATCATTCTCCTATTTGTCATTATAGTTGTTTCTTTTTTGGATAAGATTTCAGGCTATAGTTAGAGGAGAAATGTCTACAGCATCGGAAATTGTGTTTTAAAAACTTTAAGTGTACTTAAAAAAAAAGTCAAGACCAGGATCCTTACTGCCCCGCCATGGAAGCCAAACAATTTCAGGTGGTCAGTTTCGGGATACCCAGTAGGCCTGATACCCACGGAGGAAGTAAATAGGAAGAGCCACAAGGTCATACATTTTGGAAAAAATATTCTGCCCTGTTGGCCTGTTATGACAAAGCACCTTCAGATCCCCATTATTCAAGTCATACTTTTGATTGAAGCTCTTATTAAAATGCAAACATGTTTTGTGAAAAGGGTGGGCCATCAATCCACAGACACCCACAAATTCCTTAGTAAGGGTGAATTTCTCAGCCAAGACACCCCCTTAGGGAACAGCAAGCAGGGTCCTGAGGATTAAAACAGAACAGAAACTGTTCAAAGCTGGTGGTTCTCTCTAGGAAGGAAAGACGAGATAGGGGTGAGCAGAACAGTGGGGAGACAGAGGCAAGAAGAGCCACCCAAAGGCAACAGAGTGAACAATGAAGACGGATTTCACCAGCTTTCCCTTCTGTGGCTTCCCAGTCAGGTGTGCTGCTCACATTTGTCCTTGGGTAGAAATAAGTAAAGAGAGAACATTCTGGAAGGATACACAAGCAACTGGTATCAGTGGTTGCCTTCAACTAGGTGTCTAGAAGCAAAGGAGGAAGAGGCATTTACTTTTCACCATATACCTCTTTGTATCTTTTGAATCTTGTATTGAAAGGATATATTACTGCTTGGAGCAATAAATAAATGAATACATAAATAAATAAAGATAACCAGCCCCTTCCAGTAAGAAAGATAAATGCCTGCATTTCAATACCAAAAATCAAGTTCCCCAGAACCCTTGTGAGTATGTATGATGCAGTGGGCTGTAGAGATAGCAGAGTTGGGTTCAAATCCCAGCTCTGTCACTTTCTAGATGTGCAACCTCATGATGTAATAATGATCATAGATGCATCCTAAAAGTGAAGTGAAATTCAAATAAGGTGAGGTCGGAAAATGTTCTAGCATAGTGTAACACAATACATTTTCATTTCTTTCTCTTTCAAATCCCCATCAGCTTACCACTCATCCCCTCATGGCCCCAGTCTACCATGTCTACCCCATTAAAGTTATCACATTGATCTTCTAAGCAAAATTTAATGCTGACTACCACACAGACTGCAGCACTGGTGCCAGTCCCTGGTATAAAGCTCCTAGGCCTCCATTGTCCCCCCTATCATCTCACATAATATAAAAAAGTAGGTTGGCCCTCAGGTCCCTGAATGTCTGCCATCAGAGTCAAATCCACTTTTCTCCATGTGGCTTCATGTGTACATTTTGGTAGGAGAAGGTGAGGGAGTGAATGTGTGTGCGCATGTATGTGTGTGTGTCTGTCGTCTTTCTGTATGCCTGTGTGTGTGAAGGGGCTAAGCTGAATAATGATCCAAGTATCTTGAATGTTATATGTCTTTGAACTGACGATATTAAGTCACCTTCACTCAAAAATAGATTTAAGAGCAAGACTTGGTTGCACTTAGCACATTTACAAATAAATGCAGTCTGCAGGTGGTTGGATTTGGGGATCATTTTGGCTGTGAAAATGCCCGTGATTGTATTTATGTTCAACAAGTAATAAAACCTTGATTGTTCTGTTGCTGCTGGAGTGATAAATGTACAGCCTATCTCTAATGACCTGACAGACTGTTGAGAACAGAAACATTATTTTATAGAAAAATTCATGATTCCTGCCATGACACCCCTTGCTAATTAGGAAACTTGGGTTTTCTGCCATTTCAAAGGCAGTTTGAACATTGCAGGGAAAACATTGATTAAATATTTTGCTGGCATCCTCTGGCTTGTTTTTCCTGGGCACACGAAATGGCTGACACTTGTGTCAAGATGGACCCAAGTAATTTCGGGAAAAAAAAAAACCCTAGAAACTTTGGACTGCTTTCAATCAACAATCAACTGCCAAATATTCACTGAGTCCTGACATGGAGGGAAAGATACTGACACATCATACTTAGGCCACTACCTCCAACAGCTTACTGTTTACTTGGAGAGGCCAGATGCACACACTGGAATAGCATGTGATTAGAACAAGGATATGATAAAAGAAAAGTGCTTTATAGGCAGGAAGTCATGGAGGATTTAGTCAGGCTGAGAGTGGGGTATTCCAGGTGGAGCCAATGGTGTGTGTGTGGGGGGGGGGTGGCAGTTTGAATAAGACAGAACTCTATTTCTTAATACCACAAACTGTCTTTATTAAGCGTTGATCAGCAAATTTACACAGCCCTTTGGAGCTTCAGGGCATGGACTTTTCATTCTCTGCTGCACACTGGGTACTCTGTGGCAAGTGGCGAACACTGAATGACTAGACTCTCTCTGAGGCAAGTCTGAGGAAGCTCCTGCCCAGAATCCTAATCCTTATCATTTTGTCCAAAGTCCCAAGGATGACAGTGCCCACCTGTGATGGCCCACTTCCCCTGCACCCAGGAATATGGGAAGGTTGGGGAGGGGAAGAAGGCTAAAAGAAGGTAAGGTTTGTATCTCTAATAGCTCAAGGCTATGGTGTGTTTCTGGTCCTGACCTTCAAGCATTTAGGGGACACAAGGAGCTTGGAGAAATGAAGGAAAGACCTAATTATACCTCTGCTGATTAGGCAAAACAAATGGAATGGATAAATTTATACTTATAATGTCTGGTAACTCACAGACACTCCATAAATATTTGCCACATGCATGAGTGAATGGATGGTCTAAAATATATGAGCTTAGGAAAGCAATGCTGACTTTTCTTCATCTAGGGTTTGCTATCTTAGTGCTGAGTAAACCTATGCTTTCCATTAGTACATAAACTCCATAAGGGCAATAACCTTGTTTGTCATGTTTACCACTGTACTCTCAGTACCTAGCACAGTGTTTCACTCTAGGTTCTTTGGTTGCCAGCCACAGAAACCAAATGTCTTTGAGCTGGCATTATTGTCAATTCTAGTTAACCAAGGGAACTTGTTGAAAGTGTTTTGGGAATTCAAAACATTTATGGGAAAGTTAAAGAACAGGGCTTGACTTTGTGGAAGATAGTGTGATGTTCATCAAAGATATAAAGACAGAGCTACCATTTGACCCAGCAAGCCCATTACTGGGTATATACTAAAAGAAATATAAATCATTCTGTTATAAAGACCCATGCATGTATATGTTCATTGCAGCACTATTCACAATAACAAAGACAGGAATCAACCTAAATGCCCATCAATGATAGACTGGATAAAGAAAGTGTGATACATATACACCATGGAGTACTATGTAGCCACAAAAAAGGGTGAAGCTGGAGGACATCATCTTTAGCAAACTAATGCAGGAACAGAAAGCCAAATATTGCATGTTCTCACTTATAAGTGGGAGCTGAATGATGAGAACACATGGACACATGGAGGGGAACAAAATACACTGGGAACTTGCAGAGAGTGAGGGTCAGGGGAGGGAGAGGATCAGAAAATCAACTAATGGGTACCAGGCTTAATACCTGGGTGACGAAATAATCTGTACCACAAAACCTCATGACACAAGTTTACTTGTATAACAAATCTGCACTTATACCTCTGAACTTAAAAGTTGTTAGAAAAAAGAAAGAAGAAAAAAATATCAGGGCTTGAAAAAGGACCGAGGTCTACAAAGCAGTAACCATAGTGATTGTCTCCTAGCAGTAGAGGAGACTCATATGGGCACCATTACTGGAAAGAATAAACAGTAATTTCTTCTATGCTCGTGCTACTAGCTTAAAACTCAAAGTCCTGTGAGCCTGCATCTAATCAGCTGAGCTTAAATTTTGTGCTCTACTGAGCAGTGAGAGGAGGGATGTGGCAGAGAAATCTTCAGGAGCACTTTGCTTTTGATTGTTGTAGGATAGAAGTGTGAATTTACCATCCCGCCAAGAATATCCACAATAAGGGAGAAGTCATTCTACAAAAAGAAAGTAGGCTATTAGGAATGAATGAGTAGGTAGGAAAAAAAAACCCACATATGTTCACCTCACACGATATAGGACTGGATATACTTTGGTTGAACGAATGGCTAATTCAGTAGCATCCTTCTTCAGTGAGGGTGCCATAGTGCTAGGAAGAGTAGATCTCTCCCCTACGCGGAGGCCTCATTCAGGTGTTCACTAATTGTGTTTTAAGGCTAAGGTGAATCAGGATGTGCTGAGAGAGTTGAAGAGTTCAAGATAAGCGTCCCAGAATAATAGATAAGAGTGCGGTTAGAAAAGGTGATCTTTAGAGATCCTGAGTGCACAAGTTGGCCTCACTCTAAGAAAAACCAATATATGAAAACGAGCTTCATTGTTTGCTTACATTGTCACCTTGCCATGTCTCTCCAGACAAGCACGTTTTCAGCCCCAGTACTAGGAAATATTCCCCCAATCTCCATTCTGCAACTTAATTGCTTAGGTCTAATAAAGACCCAGATCACGCAGGCTGGGAAAGTGTGATTCATTATAAAGTATACCTTTATGTATCTACACTTGAAAGGGCATTTTTAAATTAAACTTTTTAAAGGTGCTTTTCATAAAGCTTTTTATGAGCTTTCTTAAATATTTGAAAATATATTATGATTCCAATTTCCAGGCTCCTTTAGCTCTGATTAAGGAGTGCTTTCTTGTCTGAGAAGGAAAGCTAGGAGGAGTGTTACTTCCATTCTTT